TTTAAGGGTATGAGACTGCGCTGGCCAGAGCCCAGGTAACAAACCGGCTCACGCCCAGTGTTTTGAATGTAGGAAATTGTACCCACTGTACAGTGCTCACCCCTACTCACAAACAATGTTTATGACACGCTTCCGAGCCAGGGTCGAAAGTACGGTACAAAACGACATAGCACATCTACTTCGTGCTGAAATAGCGAAACCGCTACAGAAATGGGCTATAGAAACCGTCCCTCTGATTCAGAGCCAGTCATGTTTCTCCAGCAGGCATTTCCTTGCCCCCAAAAAGGATGGCTGTCTCAGACCCATCCTAGATCTCAGGCGCTTGAACAAAGCACCGTTGGAGAGATCGTCCAAAACTCTCACAACCAGAAAAATTCTTGCGCAAATTCGCCCGAGGGACTGGTTTATTTCACTGGATCTGAAAGATGCTTATTTTCAGATTAAAATAATACCCCGTCACAGGCCTAATCTTGCAATTTGCCTTCGAGGGTCAGAGTTATCAGTACACTGTCCTGCTGTTCGGCTGGTCTTTAGCACCACGTACTTTCACCACAGCGTTCACTCCCCTGAGACTTCAGGGGATGTGTATAGTGAACTATCTGGATGACTGGCTTACTCTAGCCCAATCAAAAACAGAAATGATAGAGCACAGTCCATGACAGTGCGGCTGACGTCACAGCTTGCGCTGCAGATACAGCTCTCAGCGGCGTCCTTCAAGGATACCAGTGTTTTCCCTCTCAAAAATTTTCAGAGGATTCTAGGCCTTATAACCTCAGTCTCAGCAGTGCTTCAGTTGGGTCTTTTTCATGTGTGTCCCCTGAGACTGGTACCAGTCAGGTATCGATCTGGGAAAGATCTAGTCACGAAAATTTAACTCGACAGATGCCTCCTACTCAGGTTGGGGCGCCCTCTATGAGGGCAGGCGAGTCTTCAGCTGGTGGGCGGCCCAGGAGAGGCACTTAAACATAAACTGTCTGGAGATGATAGCGGTCGTGAACACCTCAGGTCATTTTCTCCCTTTCTTGAAGGGCCACAATGTCCAATATTCTTCTCGAAGGGCAGGGACGCGCTGGCCCTCGACTGGCCCAGCCACCCACTTTATGCATTTCCCCCGATCACACTATTTCCACAGGTGATTAAGCAAAATCAGGGAGAGCAAGTGCTCTATGCTCCTTGTGGCGCCGTTCTGGAGGAACCAATCTTGGTTCCCAGAACTGATGCAGCTCACGAGCACGGTTCTGTGGCCGATTCCATTGAGAAAGGATCTCCTCTCTCAGGCCAGGGGCGTGATTAGGCAGCCGAGCCCCAACTTATGTGCATTGCACGTGTGGGCTGTCAACGGATACCCACTGACCTCCCAGTCGGAGTGCCAAGTACAATCACGAGAGCACACTCTACTAGACGGCTATATGCTTCTAAATGGTCAGTGTTTTCTGGCTGGTGTTTAGCCCCAAACCTAGACCCACAACCCTGTGGCATTACGGAGATTCTCTCCTTCCTTCAAGAGCTTCTGGATGAGGGCAGGTCACCCTCCACACTCAAAGTTTATGTTGTGGCCATAGCAGCATTCACAGAACCTTTGCATGGCCAGTCACTGGGAAGGAACAATCTTATCATCCGTTTCCTTAGAGGAGCTAGGAGACTAAAACCTCCTCGGCCCCCATAGTTCAAGCCTGGGACCTTTCTACGGTCCTAGAAGCTGTGAAGAGCGACCCTTTCAAGCCAAGCCAATTCAGTCAGTGGACTCACAGTGTCTCTCATTCGAAACTATTTTTCTAATGGCTCTCGCTTCAGTCAAGCGAGTAGGTGACGTTCTGCATGGAATTTTTCATGCACGTTGTGCATGGAATTTGGACCTAATGACTCAAAAGTTATGCTCAAACCGAGACACAGCTATGTCCCAAAAGTGCTCTCCATTCCGTCCAAAGCGCAAGTCATCTTCTTGTCAGCTCTTCTGGCAACTGATGGTGAGAAAGTTGTAAATCTCGTTTGCCTGATCAGGGCATTAAGGATTTACCTTCAACGGTCTGCTGCTTTCAGGCAGTCAAAGCAGCTTTTTGTTTTGTTCGGTGGCCGCGCTAAAGGGCTAGCTACCTCGAAACAGAGCCTTTCCAGAGGGATAGTTGAATCTTTTGCTTTGGCTTATAAGTCTAAAGGCCTTCAATGTCCTTTAGGCGATGGAGCCCATTCCACTAGAAGCATGGCCTCTTCTTGGGCCTGGACTAGTGCTGTTTCACTCCAGATATTTGTATGGCGGCAGGCTGGGCCTCTCCATCTACATTTAAGGTTTCCCAACCTGGAGGTTCCTGCCTTGCAAGCTGAACTGTTCTCAGTCTGAACCCATTCTTGTGTGGCGAACTGGTTAAGTTCTGCTTTCTACACAGCTCAGTCTGACTTTTGATCATGCTGACTGTTACAGTATATTGTGTTAATCGCTCATTCATATATATGGTGTGACACACTCCCTATATATATGGTCATATATATGGTATGTTTTGAAGACCTAGTGTCTCTCCTTGTTGGCTCTCCTTTGGAAATTCCGATCAGCAGGCGAGTGAGTCAATACTTTACACCTGCCCATAACTGTGTCTTGTTTTGAGAGTAATACATTTCTCAGAAATCTCTTCAATGGGCTTGAAAGGAGCCAGGCCCTTTTAAAACAATGGCCAGGTCCCAAGACTTTCAAGCCCACTGAAGAGGTTTCTGAGAAATGTATTACTCTCAAAACTATTTTTCTGCTTGCTATTTCGTCCCTAAAAAGAATTGGGGACATTCAAGCTCTCTCGGTTTCTCCCTCTGGAATTCGCACCCGGCATGGTAAAAGCTTTACTTCACCCTAGACTGGGCTATGTTCCTAAGGTTTCAACTAATACTGTTAGGCCTATTGTACTGCAAACATTCTGCCCTCCACCTTTTCTGATGTCAGACCAGGAGAAACTTAATCTGCTCTGCCCAGTAAGGGCTTTAGATGCTTATGTCCACAGAGTTGCCCTGTGGAGGAATTCTGAACAGTTTTTTTGTGTGTATTGGACCCCCCAAAAAGGGGTGTCCTGCATCTAAGCAGAGAATGTGCAAGTGGGTGGTTGAGGTCATCTCACTTGCTCACTCGACTAGGAGTACAGTTGCCTCTTAAGCTCTTTTGTCAGGACTTTCACTTCAGGATGTTTGTGATGTGGTAGGCTGGTCCTCACCACATACATTCACCAGATTTTATTATCTTGATTTCAGCTCCACTCCAGGAACGCCGTAGCCTGGTTCAACCAGACTCTAGTTCATTTCATTTCCACATAGAGTCTGGAACCGCTCCATTGAAAAACGTTTCCTTCCTTGTAGGCGGGTTCACTATTAAAGTTCAAATCTATTGGATCTGCCCAAAGTCACTCACGATCTGCCATAGCCAATCGCTAACGGGGTGTCGTGACTCGTGAGTGACGTATGTCACGCGGCGAAATGGCTGGAAACAAGTCCGAATGATCAGAGGATTGTTTACAATAGGATTTTAGTCAACGAGCGCCGTAGGTTTAGTTAATCTAGGAACAATTATTAATTCGAAATGTATATTTGACACGAAGGACAGTGATATATTCATTCAATGGTGGAAGCTGTGTCTAATCATTACAAATACGCCGCTGTGGTCGTTTCTGATCTGCCGCAAATGCTGTAGCAGCTACAGTGAATGATCAGTCTGTCTCTATCTGCAGATGTGTAATAAACAACAATTGTTCATATTACGTCTTATTGTTTCTTAATCACCTTAATTATGGTCTTCAAAGTATGTGTTTGTACATTTTTATATGGCATTTATTTTTTTTAGTAAAACAAATCAACCATTGCCATCTAAAACTGAAAATCAAATATCTTCAAAGTATGGTTTTTCACATTTTTATTTAAGACAATTATTATTTTTTTAAATCACAACCAATTTGTATGATTTACAACATGTAAAACTGACACACCAACCTCCTGCACGAGTGCACAAGGGCTCAAAATGTTCTATTCATCACAAGAATCAGTAAATTTACAGTTGGGAATCTGAGCGACTGACATGACTCCTGAGCTGATCTTCAACAATAGTTTAGCAGCCAGGACTCGGGGCTTCCGAACACCGCAAACACCAGGCTAAACCGTCCGTCCAAAATGTCACGGTCATTGTGCACGAACTGCCCAGCACAAACTTCCAAACTTTCTGCCTCCTTCACTTGGTCCTCAGTTGTGCAACAAGAGGTTAGACGATAACAATCCGGCTTTAAATTCTATATATTCGGCAGTTTCTTTTCCAACAACGGACCGAATAGCTTTTCTCACGTCTTTCTCCGCTGCCATTACTGAATTGAAACTGACGCGCTTACATCAACGTCATCTTTCTCAGCCACTCCCTCTATTCGCTGATTGGTCCTACAAAAAATTGGTTTCTGGAAACCTAAGGATATGGAGCGATCCCAGACGTAGTACAGAAGTAAAATGAAATTGAGCGGAAGTGCGTAGGAGGGCGCAGCCAGGCTAGGAACGCAGGTGCTTTCGCCAGAATGTGCGTCCTTCACACAACGGATCCTTGCTCGTATGGCGACATGGGCATTGGCATTCCCACAGCGTTTTCAAGGGGTTAATTATACTGGTATGTCACTTAAATATATTTGTAATTACTATTTTGTAGTTGCAATTTAGTACATTTACATAAATTACCTTTACATGCGATACTGAATAACACTCTACGAGTAAACTTTTAGCCAGCACTGTTAACACAATGTGAACTCAAGGGGGCAGTGTTTTACTATAAGTCACCGTTTATTGGTTAATGGGCACAACTTTAAAGACTGTAATTTATTTTGATATAATAAAGTCAAATCTTCTTTAAATTAGTCGATAAGGCTGTTAACCATTTAGTTTTTGATTTTCTTAACTCAAAAGAAAACTGAATAAAGGGCAGAGCTGAAACATTAGAGGTCTGGAGTTCTAGGCAAACACAATGTGAATATTGAGTACAGTAATCAGAAACTCACCCATATGCTTACAGGGTCGGCTTCCTGAGCTGACTCTCTGCCCGCTGACTGATCCCTTCACAGAGGAGCTCAATACCACATGTGTCCTGAGGGCAGAGAACGAGAGAGAGAATCAATATAGATCCAGATCATGTCCTAATGCCTGCCGCAAGCCAAAACTACAGTCAGAGAGTTCAGTGTGAATCTTTCCCATGCTGAGGGTTTACCTGCATCAGTAACTTACAGGCGAGGACATGCAGTATCAGCTCACACACATAGCTGACATATAATGACAGAAAAAGATGCTTCATATTGGAAACACCACAGTGACAATCAACATTTGAGAGGGACTGGTCCATTTGTTCCTTTTACCTCGAATGTTTAAAAGAACTTGCAAGTGCGGTATTGTGCTATTTACTGCATACTAAGATAAATATGTACTTATCTTATTTATTTTGAAAAATACGTTGGCAACATTATAAATGTATTTGCTGTCACTGTAATGCGCTCTTACTGAATAATATTAATTTATTTAAAATTATAGTACAATTTTGATATTGTAAATTTAGATTTTGTAGATAAGTGGACTCCGGGAAGACTTTTTGGAAACCAATGGGGATCCAAAATAAAAAATAAAAGAAGAATTTTCGAAAGAGTTTAGTTACCGAAAACTGACTGCATTTGTTCTTTAAGCTTTAAGACGTTCTTTTCAACATCAGCTCACATATTCTATCTGTAGCTTTGAACTATGATCACGGCTGATTCTTCAGTAGGAGTGAATCATCTGTGTTGGAAGCTCAGCAGAATCTGGTAAGGCAAAGGGTCTTTGAAGGGAGCGTCACACTGGCTCTATATCAGCAGTTATTTGACCTGATGTGGCCTTCAGCTCAGAGCGCGTCCCCTGGGGTTGCTCAGCCAGAGGATGTGGTCAGGAGCAAGGATGTGTTTGTAGACTATTGAGTAGATGTGAGCAGGGGTCACTTCCCTCTCTCCCCCAACACTGTGAAGTGCATTAGGAAGAGAACAGATGGGAATGAGGTGAGCTAATACGTCAATGTCAAATAGCCAATAAAGGACCATAAAAGAGAGACAGAAGTAGAAGGTAGAAAGGCCATGCTTACACCTGGAATTAAGATGCATTTTGGTCAATCGGATCATGACGAGGGAGACACATTCCCACCTGTATTATTTTGAAGATTATCGGTATCATTTAAACAGATTTTGGTAGATTGACATATTAACATTAAATCACTAAATACCACCCAAGTAGCAATGTACAATACCATAATACCTGAAACATTGTCACTATATTATTTACATGAATTTCTGGCAAAGACATGCAGCTTCCATTATTTTTACAGTAAATGTAACAGGATAGGGATGCACATTATAGTGGTACTATACCGGATATCAGCTGAAATTAGAGATTTTTTTTTTTAATTTGCTGATATCAGACAATACTGTGTATATTTTATTGTACATGCTCATTTCCCCTATTTTTACATTTAGATTACCTTTGACAAAAGATCAGTTAAAGGTAATCTTTTTTTTTAAATACTTTTAATAAAAAATGTATATATAGGCTACATTTAATAACACTTTAATCTTTATCAAAAAAAAAAATAGCAGAAATGAATAAAAATGAACAAAGAGATGGTGAATTAAAGTAAGACCAAGTTTTGACTTGTCATAAATTCGTTCCAACATGGACAAATACTAAAAAAGGTAAATAACAAACCTTATCTTCCCTGTTGCTGTTACAAGTTCCAACATGACTATAAAACCGGAAAGTTGTTTTTTTTTTTTTTTTCAAACACTCGCCACATTTTTACACATGAACTCTTTGCCTTTGAAATGAGATTACAGTGAGTAACCCTTTGCAACAAATGAATTTCCCATAATTCACACACACTGAGACAGTAACTGCCCCTCAGGCAGTTGTGCTTTTTTTACATTACGTTACTTCAGTACACCAAACTGACACGTTTAAGTACGAAAACACTTGTATGAGTATCACGTTAATTTTTAAAAAAAAAAGTGCTTTTCTGTGTCCTTCCTGATTTGTGTATCAGAAATGACACTGTTGTTTCGGCTGTATCAACACTACTCATTAATTCAGTCTCTCTGTTGCATAACCATGGACTGAGGGAGCAAGAAACAAGTGTGGGATGGAGAAAATGAAAGAAAAACAGGATGACTTGGGTAAACATCAGCTTCTATCAGCAGAAGAGGGACATTTGACAAGTGTTTTCCTCTCAAGTGCAATACAGTTTAACATGTGTTTCCACTTCCAGCAGAACTCGCCATTAACACTCTTAATCGAAAGTTTAACATCACTGTTTCTCACATCTGATTCAATGAATTCAATGATTAAATTTTCACTGGCCACACCACAAAAAAACTACTACATTAATTAAATAGTTATCATTTTTGACCCATGTATCCTTGAATTGTAATAAATAAGGTCAGGGTAATAAATAAATAAGGTAATTGTCCAGGTTTGTGCAGGCAGAAGATGATGACGAGAAGGCTGAAGATTCAAATACAAACTACTTTAATCACAATTTCTCACAGAGACAAAAGCTGGCGGTAGCACAACAGCATTACACAGATGAGAACGGACAAAGACTGACTGAACAGAGAGGACTAAATACAGACAATGACTACGTTTACATGCAGCCAACAGCCCGTTCAAAACCGATATATTAGCAATAACCCGGTCGCAAACGGCCATGTAAACACCGGCAAAAACCCGAATATGCTCATATCCCGGATTTTAAAAAATGGGATATTGTACCTGGGTACTTCTCAGCGCATACAAAAATCCGCGTTTAGTATACTGGAAGTAAACATGGCGAGACCAGGTGAGACACAGCACAGCATACTTTTGGAGCGAGGTCAGTAACGTTACCAGCATCAAAGCGCAAACAAAGGCGATCGCTATCTGCCCAGAACTATTCATTATCCGTGTGCTGCTGCTGCTGTGTGCTGCTGTTAAGATAATGCTTTTTTAATAATCAAATCAAGAAATAACATTATTAAAAATCAAAACATTAACAAAATATACTCATTGATTAATTTTGTTATGAAGTACAGTTGTATTTTTGCATAGAATTCATATTGAACGCTATATCATATGCTTTTAAAATCTGAGGAAAATAATCAGTTGTAGCTTGTGGCACAGTGACCTTTTTAAAAATAAATAGTGTATATACTCATAACCAGTGTAATTTCTTCATTCTGTCAGCCGCGACGTCGCAGAAATAGGAACCGTTTCTAATTTAGAAACTTTGCGTGTCGCCGTCGCATCTGGTTAGGACAAAAACTCAGATTAACATGGAAAAGATGCATTTTATCGTGTGTCGCGGAGTCGCGTCGCATGTAGTTAGGACACGGTGTTATGACACCAACATTTTAGATACCAGTGAATTTAACGATTCTTAATTCCAGTTTTCGAAACCATAGCTAAAACTACTAACTTCAAAGATTATTGAAGACAAGCAGTCAGTAATAAATAAAGGAACAAACTATTAAATACAATAGAACAAATATACAAATGAAATAAACAGTGCTTTCAAGGTTTTCAGGTAGGTCTGACAGTAGTATTCAGGTACAGAATTTGAATTAAGTACAATTTACAAATTAAATAAGGGTTTATCCTTATTAAAGTTACAAAAATGTTATTCAATGAAGAGCAGGGAGTGATGTATTTGTCTTATGTAGTTTGATTAACATCTAAAACACAGACAGCAGCAGGAAAATTAGGCTGCTGTCACTTAAAGACTAATGTGTGGCTATAATGGGTATAATACACACGTGTTGTCTTTTTTGACTCTTTACGTTCACTTAAACCATAACCGACTATGTTGATACTCGCCTTCGACAGCATTTTGAGAAAAATTTGTGTGGATTTGTCCGATTAAGTGCAAGGAGAATTCATTTTAGGGTTAGGACGTTGTGTTTCAGATGTGTGCGCACACAAAGCTTCTAACAAGTTTTTTGGCATCATTCTAGCCTGAATGCACAAGGCTTCAAAACACATGCAAATGATAATCTTTCGGGACCATGCAGCACTGGCCCGATAAGGACCATGCTGCCATGGTTTCATTCCTTCAATTGTACGAAACGTCTTTCACGGTAAAAGGCACACCTGCATCCCCCATGTTAAACACTTAATGAATAACAGGGTCCCAGTGTCATGGAAGGTAAATAAAAGCATGACATGTGGTGGAGAAGAATAGTAATAAGACTAATGTCAATGAGATATTGTTTTCAATGTTTGTGGGAAATTAATACGGAAAAATAGATTGATTATTAGCTTTTGGAATCAACATCAAATTAACCACAGTTTAAAAAGTGATTAATCGAAAAATCTAAATATGCCAAGCCTTAGTATCCCAAAATAATATCATTGTTGTCAGATTTTATTCTTTATGTCGAATGTTATTTAAATATTCACGAACTGATGTCTTTCATGATCATAATTTTCATAAGTAGAGCAGCAGTTCTTGCATGGCTGGAAATATCTGCCTGGGGACAGAACCTAATTGACTTCCTTGTATAAAGTCAGTGAAATAGCTTTAAATTATTACTGCATGTTGTTGTTTTCTGCGACCCACAATCTGCTGATATAATATAAGAAAGACCTGTGAAGTAATAGGGGAACAAACTGCTTATTCACATAAATGAAGGATGCATCCTTGCAGAAGTACACAGATGTTTTAGAAAGAGTACCCTCTACAACACCAAGGTCACAGCTATAATAGATGGCACTGGACTCAAGGGCCGGAATGGCCCCGTTAAAAGCCGGCCCTTGGGAGGTCTGAAGTATCATATCCCTCTTAACTGTCACTGCCCTTATCTAGGAAAGGATGTGATATTATCTAATAAGTGGTTATGCTGGGATTCCTGAGGTTCATGTTAACGCAGCTAGTTTTATGTTCGATCACCATCTGGCAGACCTGTAAAAATGCACATGTGCTAGAATTAGCGCTTTAGGTGAGTGCACATGAGTGAAGTGTCTTAAGATGGATCACTGCCCACATTAATAGCATGCCAGGACAGAAGACGGTCAAATACATGCATGCAATCATATATGAGCAAAAGTATAAAAGATGCATATCAAAGCAGAAACGGTGCTGTAGCTCTTGCAAACGTGGATTTGAGGAAACTGAAAAGGGAGGGATAAACTGAAAGAGAGGGAGGGTTTGAGCACTGGTGGGTATAATACAAACACCCACATAATGGCAGTCTGTAGAGACTCGACCCACAGTACAGGAGGAGGAAAGATCCAGAGGAGATACCAGAGAGATAATGCTTTTAACTTCCTGATCCATTTAAATATAATCAGGGCATTTAAACAGAATATACACAGCAAAAACAAAAACACACTCGGGGGGGGGGGACCATGAAGCACGGTGAGTCACTTTTCATTTTACATTTATTGTTGGTATCGGATGATTTAAAATGTTGTTGTTTTCATTCTTTTGTTTCACTATGAAAAACAAACCTTATTACTGTTATTATTATATTGTTTTAAACTAAAAGTATATAAACATCCTTGAAAATCGAGACATATTCTTAGAAAAAAAAAACTGCATAAGAACGTGCATTCTCTGAAAACAAGTTCTTACTATTGGTATTTTCTGTTTGTTTTAAGCATAAATCTATTGGTAACACTTTACAATAAGGTTCATTAGTTTACAATAGTTAATGTATGAACTAATATGGACTAACAATTAGCAATACATTTGTTACAGTATTAATTAATCTTTGTTAAATGTTAATTAATAAAAGTAAAGCGTTTCATTGTTTGTACATGTTAGTTTGCAGTGCATTAACTATTGTTAACGAATACAACCTTTGATTTTAATAATGTTTTAGAAAATGTTGAAATTAATATCAACTAAGCTTAATACACTTCTAATTTACTAATTAGTTATTGCACTGTGAACGATTAACCCTTTGATGTCGCTATTAACCACACTCAGTGTATTTTTATTTTTTTTCAACACATCCCATATATATATATATTTTTTTTTTAATATCGGCCTCTACCAAATGGTTGAGATATGTCACTTAATGGAAATAAATGGTACTGGAATTCACACACATACTTTGCCATACTTTTTCAATGCCCATCATAATTTATGATCAAAACCTTTTCTAGTCTTGACAAAACACATTGTCAGAAAGGTCTGAGTCTCAAGATTCCATATGTTATAACAGAAGTGATATTTGGACAGAAATGTATTAATTTGTTACAGCAGAAAGCATACAGTTAAATTCAATGGAATTTGTCATTTTTGATATTACGCCTAAACAAAATCTCATGAGAGCTTCGATTTTTGTGATATCAACTTCAAATTTGGAACACAACATGGTTAGATGGCTTTGATTTTATAGTAATTTTATAGGAAAAAAATATTTTGTAAAATATATATTTTATATAAAAGAAAAAATATTTAGTTCAGTATATTTGATTTTATGTAAATTTAAAACTTCCATAACTTTTTCATACTTTTATTTTTTTTATGTGCTTTTACTTCAGCAATAATGTGCTGAGTGTTTTCTTTAAAACAAGACTAAACTTAGGTCTTTATTCCAAAGCATACTTGAATTACAACCAAGTTTTAATAGTGCATCGTAATGTTCATGTTCATGACAATTAACCGTTATGTGCCAGTGTCACCAGTTTGGTTGAGCATGTTTTTGAAAAATTATTAAAAATATAGTTATTTACTTACTACGTTTTTTTTTCTTCATAGCAACAAGTAACATCATTTTGTAAAGTTAAGGCTCTTACATTGTAATATGTGAAAAAATTGTGCTTACCTCGCAAAATTTCCCCAAAAACAGTTCACATGGCTGGTGTGATTTATTTGTTTCTGACATCCAAGTGTTGTAACAAGTGCTATTGATTGACACTGTGAAATCTATTGGATTTTTTTTTTTTTTTTGGCATAATATACCTCAAGCAGATGATACAGATGGCTCAATCAGTTTGAGTTAAGTTAGGTACTCTCAATAAAATATAGTGACTCAAAATATGCTCAACCGTTTGGTTGAGAAGTCAGTTAAAGGGTTAAGTAACATTGTCAAAGGTTAATAAACGCTGTAAAATAATGATAGTGTTTTTATATACAGTGTGTATATACAGTGTAATAGTGTGTTTTTATATACAGGGTAATGGAACACATTATGTGTGTAATATTTACGGTACAATTGGGCTAAAGGCACATCTTAAGAAAAAAATGCTTTTTCCTACTCTGACGCGGGGCATCCAGGAATGGAGGAATGCTCTTGGAGATGGTCTCTGGCCACTCCCTTTATTCATAGGACGACGAGTGAAGTTTTTTGTTATGTGTGTGTCTGTTCCACCGCTGGTTCCCAAAAATGTGGAACCAGCAGTACCCACATTTTCAAAGAAAGAGCAATTTCTCCCTTCCTGGGTTCCAAGAGTTAGTTGGTTGTATGTGACCAAAGCTAGTGATATTAATCACACCTATGTGTTGAGCATTGCTCCTGTTCTGTGTGCATACGTTGTGTCCTACTGGCGAAGGATGCGAGCCTTCCTCCAGCCGATATGAAAACCGGTTTCTATCAACCCGTATTTCATTGTACCTTAGAGTGGTGGGTTATGGCCATCTTAGATCTGTGTCAGCTGATACAGGCCCTTTTTCGAAAGCCTCCGTTCAGCTGTTACACAGATGGATTTCCGAATGCTTCGCCCCTTAGGTGGCCCGCAGCGACCTGAAGGACAGTACTTCAGATCTCGATCACACAGATCATTCTGTGTTCTTGCATCAAGGGTGCGAAATATCAGTACGAGGTCCTACCCTTCGAGTATTCCATAGCCAGGTGGGTCTTCAGGTCAACTGGGAGAGAGTGTACTCACCTACGGGCTGAGTATCTCTTTTTCAGTTTGGAGAAGGAACGCAGAAATGCGTTCCTCAGTGAGCCTACTAAAGCGGCTGCGATTCATTGTCGCTTGGCGCCTGCTCAAGTTCAGTGATTTCATCACACTCTCATGTTGAGCAATAATGCTCCTGAAACTCAGTGAAGTTGATCACACTCATGTGTTGAGCAGAAATGCTCCTGTGGCTCAGTGAAATTTATTACACTTAGGTGTTGAGCATAAAATGCTCCTGAAGCTCAGTGAAATTTATTACGCTTAGGCAGGGCCGGCTCTAGGTTATTTGGTGCCCAAGGCGAGAGTGCCCTAAAAAAAAAAAAATTTTTCATATGCAAGCTAATGGTGTAGTTGAGGAATTGCGTGGTATATGGATACAAAAGTACTTTAGGCTATATCTCCAAAAACACAGCATATATATATATATGATAACATTTATATTTTTTTGTACAATTACTCAATAAATTGTTGGGTTCGTATAGACCCCGAAGCCCAGAAGTGTAAACAGGAAACGAAGACCATTTCTTGAAGGCTAATATAACGCCGACTGCAGATACACATAACGTAAACAAAGCAGCGCGTGCTTGCCGTTTTGAATATACCCTTGTCAACATGTCGAATCAGGCGAAACAAAGCCGACGAGTACTATTTTGAGACGACGGCACGGAACCGTGCGGAACACACCGAGGAAACTAAAGCGCTAAACCCAGCTGTCAGATGTTTTCTCGCCACTCCCGGTTGCTGAGCAACGCGCGTGAGTTTGACAGCTGCCTGTCAGAGTGACTCAGTCGTTTTTTAGGATTGTATAATCTTGTTAAAGAAATGGACAAATACAAGCAGTGTGTGAACAATGCACAGTACAGCGTGTGCGCAGCTTTCATAATACGACACATACATTTAATTAACTTTTTTTTTCAATTCTGCAATTTGCGCCCCGTCCAGCAGATGGCGCCCCAGGCGGCCGCCTGTGTCGCCTGTCGGCAAAGCCGGCCCTGCGCTTAGGTGTTGAGCATAAAATGCTCTTAAAGCTCAGTGATCATCACAAGTAGTGTTAAGCAGTGCTCCTGTTGGTTGTCGCCGGTCACTTGTACCTAGTGTGCTAGGTCAGGAGGGAGCAGGTCTTGACAGTTGCCCCATTTTTTGGCCCAACCGGACTTGCTCCCCTCGACAGCCTTCCTGACTTCCCGTGAACACATTTTCAGGGACTGGGCACGATGGCACCTGCATCCTGGCCCCTGGACATTCCAGGCCGGTCCTACACTGGACGTGGAGGTTCAGGTGTCTATCACAAGAACATGTGGTAGTTACCATCACTTCTGCATGCACCAAAAAAGAGGTAGTGTGTTTGCCCTTAGGAGTGAAACCTATTCATTGAGTGAGTCTTCTCTCCGTGAGGAGATCCTGAAAGCTTTCGATCATTTCAGTACTAGCGGTTAGACGTGCACAGAACGCAAGCCTTAGTCCTCAGACCAGCTCTAATCTGTTAGATTCAGCAGAGAGGGAAGGCTTTTTCCAAGCAAAGTTGGCCCACTGATGGTGGCTGCCTTGATTCGGTGTAGAATTCCAAGATGCTCATGTCCTCTTAGGTGTTATAGACCTCCTCTATATCCCATATGTGTATTTCCACGATTCCACGATGTCTTCCCTCGGCAGAGTCTGCTCTCTGCCGTCACTGTCCGGTGAGTCTCCCCCCTGTCATAGGCTGGAGCCACCCCAGTGACATTCCATATGTCATAATGCCCTGTCTCCCACCCAGTTCATTTGTGTATTCTCCATGTTACCTCCCTCGGGGTTGGATTTGGCTTCCGCAGCGTCCCTTCCTTCCAATGTGCAGGGAAAGCTTTCCCAGTGGTCCTGTAGGAACAGCAGTGACTTCCCTGCCCTAAGCCCTGTACTTCCCCACCTTAAAATTGCGGGGGCATCAGGAGGCTTTTGTCTAGGCACTGGAAGGTGACCGCTTTAGTGCCGTTTTCAAAGGTTATCCCCATTCAGTTGACCGTCGACTACGTCCAACATTATCAATTGAAAGGGAACGTCCTGGTTGCGTATGCCCATGCCACTAATGCTGCACCACCGTTGACTCCAGGTTACTCTCGGCTACTCAGCGAAAAAGCAACTAGTGCGTGCATCCACTTCCGTATTTGTACCCGCGCACGGGGGTGGAGTGTGTGATGCGAATCCCACACGCCAATTACATTGGCTCGTTCAATAGTACTCGAAGAACATACGCTCTCTGACGGTCCCCATTCAGTCGACCGTCGACTACGTCCTCCATTCCCTCGTTCAGGGAACAGTGAAACTTCTCTCAAGAGACGGATCATGAGTGTTTTTAATAGTAAAATACAGTAATAGGGTAAATAGGATAACAATCATAATTTGATAAAATATTAAATGTTATTTATAAGGGACAACCTGGATTGAACTAGCAGAGCTCATGAGCAAAACCAAACTGATTGAACAAAATGTGATCAGTGACCACAGAGATTGCAAAGAATTATGTCAGAA